CGCTGAATTACGTTTTTGCAGTTTTTACTAAGAAATTGTATGCTTCGCGGAGTAATACAGAATCTTCATCCTTTAATTTTCTGATTTTGGAGAAGTGGAGGCTTCGGATTAATAGCAGGTGATTCTAAAGCGTTGGACAGTCTAGGCTGCAGACACTGCGTACTACGGCCGATGGTTCACGTCTCTCTCGTGGTCCTCCGCTAAAAGTTGTAACGCCCTCAGATACCTGGTGTGACTTACCCAATTGAGTAAGTCATAACAGGGAGTGCACAGCACTTCGGGCTTTACGTTTCGGTGATGATTTTGTACGTAAAATGTTGTGTATAGTTTCCCAGCTCTGCTGTACTCCTTATCACTCCTAGAGGGCATTGGAGACCCCAGTGTGAAATGCAGCTTACGCAGTGAGCTTCCTTCCCGTGCTCGGACGTCAGAACAAATACTGGCTCAACTGTATCGCTCATCTGAGTCACAGCTTTTGGGAGTGTAGGGGTAGATGCAGGTTGACACAGTTCCATTTACTAGAAAACAGCCCCAAGGTGTGTGTTTTTTAAAAAAAGAAAAAAAGTGGCACAATGGCAGGTTAGTTGTGAACAGATAATCTATGAAAAAGCAAAATATCATGGCAGATTTGTCTGAGTTAAGGTGAAAAAACGCGGTAGAAGAATGTAAAAAAAAAATATTTGAAGATGATTACCTTTCCTAGAGGTTTCATATTTTCTATTCATTTTCTTTAGAAGTGGCTATTAGATGGGAAGAAGAGCATGGTTGAAGAAGAACAGGGTTTTCAAAATCTCATGAATGTAATTTTGAGTGTTCTTAAGTAAAGTTTCAGTTCTGCTCTGGGTACTAGACAGCCCAGGATAGTTCAAAGTGATGCACAAATTTAGGGATGGCAAAGAACTGTAAATAGGGATGTGATTACGTCCCTTCTCCCTCCTTTCCCCCCCTTATCTTACTGCCATCTTGCTACAGTCTTTTTGACTGGAAGATGTCTGTTGGATTTCGGTCAGTTTGGGATAGAGAGTTGTTCTTTAGCTTGGCTGTTAGTTACATAATTTCAATACTAAAAAAAGGGAAATTTCAAGTATGGATAGTGAAGTTTCTTTTATGCATCTTTAACGGGCCTGAAAAACATCACCTGGATAAACATAAGGCGCTTGCATGGCTAGCAGTGGCTGGTGCCTAAAATGAGTCTAGCATTCTGTAGAGTATGTGGAAAAATGGAAGCGGGGGGAAGAAGAAAAAAAAAAAAGGTTACTTAGAATGTTTTGGCATATACTTTAACAGCTTTCAGTAAATTCAGTCCACGGCTTAACTAATGTGCTTAGGACTCCTGCTGCAGGGTAATCTTTAAGGATTAAATCTGCATTCCAGAAGATAGACTTATGTGTGTGTGTGTCTATGTGTATTGCATTCAAAAATGTTATATGAGAGGTGTGAGGACTTTTTGTTGTTGTCGAGATAGCACTGTATCTAAAAAGCGCTGACAGGTATAGGAAACTGTTTATTCATAGTAGAGATTTGGTTTTATAGTTATTTTTGCAGGTGATAATTCTCACAACTCCAGTATATTTTACTTATAATCAGCTTAATTGTAAGTATTTGTGCATGTCCCTGACAGCTGTGAAAATGATGTTGTAATGAAAAAACAAGAATAGTGCTTGAAATTCTTCTTGTTAATAGCTATATTCGAACTAAAAATACTGAAATTTGAAAGATGAATGTCGTTTTCAGTGAGCAGTATTGCTAGAGAAACGTCAATGTTTGATATCGTGCTTGCAGTGGGGCGGGAATAACATGATTTGACTGTAAGCTTCTTCCTCCCCCCCCTTCTTCTTTAAGATATTTAGATTCTGCAAATCAAAATGCCACAGAAACTTCAAAAAGAAGCGAAATCCCAGAAAGATGAGATGGACCAAAGCATTCCGGAAAGCAGCTGGCAAAGAATTGACAGTGGTAAGAAGTTGACCTGGTTCACACTTTTACATTAGCTCACTAAAACTGCAGAAATCTAGCCTCTTCCAGCTGCAAACAGGTTAGGTTAGCTAGCTTAATGCATTATCACTTAATTAGATGAGCATGAGGGGTGGAGTAAGCGGAGAAAAGAGGGACTGTGGAAGAGGATGTGAGAGTTTTCTTGAGAGTGAGCTATTCATTTAGCTTGACTATAACTTGGAACTTCCCATTTCAGCGTCAGTGTGACAGCCAGTATGTCAGGTGTCTACGTTGGTAATACGTGGCATTCCCCAAGTCCAAGGCATTTTTTTCCATCTGTAAATCTCCTAGTCTCTGTACATTTACATTTAGTAGTTGTATTTCTGCACAATCAGATAATCTGGGTTACCGGGTACCCCAGGAAGTCTCTCTATGTAGACACATAAGACGTTACCTTTTGAAGTCTTCTTAAAGCACACAATATATAGGAAAAGTCCTTGCATAGACAGGAATGCTTCAAAAAGAGCGTATGAGATCTTAAAAACAACTTCAAGACAAAGTTACTTCAGTGGTAAAAATACTAAACACTCATATTTGGTGGGATAGTTCTTAAATAATTCAAGAATTACTGTGACTTAATTACCTGTTTTTTCCCAGAATACTAACAATTTAGTAAATATTTTGACACAGTGATTTGCTGCCTTCTGTGGATCTTCCAAGGGGAAGAATGTGATTTTATTTTATTTTTTAATGTGACTCTGAGAAGCCATGATTAATTAGCATCTTCTGTAATTGTATTTCTTGCTTTCAAGTTGTTTTTGGCTAAGTTGAATTACCTTTTTGAAAAGAACTTAATTTAAAATTCCTTTATACATGTCTAAATAGGTGACAGTATGCTCCAATTTTGAGATCTATCTATGTATGCTGAGAATTAAAACAATATATAAACATGGTGCTGCTTTGTAGTTTGGTTGGTATCCATTCTTTCATAAGCCAGCTTTGGGGAGAGTGTCTAAATAGGCTTGTGACAATGGGAAATAGTGTAGTTTGTAGGACGGTGACAGTTCTTGCTGCTTTAAACAGGTACATTGGATAGAGATTGAATATATTTACCTGTTTTCCTGGGTTTCAAGTTTTTATTAAACAACAAAAAAATTAAGAAGGACATAATCTTGCCAGGTGGTTGTTCACAAGGTATTCTGAAGGACTGTCTTACTCCCTCTCTCAGAATGACCGAGGAGTCGGTCGTTCTGTCCCCTCATGTTTGGAATTGAAAAGGTCCATTGGCCAGTATGAGACAGCTGTAGTTTATCTCTATGCGTGTAGGTTAGAAGACTTTGAACATTTGTACTCTTACAAGACTTCTTTTCACTGTTTGTGGTGTGTTCTTGTGATACAAAACAATGCTGTATATTATAAATACATAAAAGCTGACACAGTTTAGGATAAACTGCAGTGAATTGATGTGGTGCTGTGTCACGCTTGGCTAAAAATGAATTTTAGGTAATTTTAAAAATTTTTTTTAAAGAATAAGAATGGCATGTACATGTTAGCATATGGTGTGCTCTACAGCTTGTATTTTGGATATTTTGCTTGATGCTATCCCATGGTGAAAACTAACATTCGTCTGTCAATGGAGTGTGACTTGTGAGTGTGTATGTGCCATTTCTTGCTATTCTGCGTAGTTTCTCTCATTGGAGCTGCTAATCTTCACGTAGCTCAAGTGAAGATTAGCAGCTGGGCTAATAATTCTGCTTTACCACTACAAAAAAGAACCTTTGGGCAGGGAAAAGTCCTCAGATAAAGTTGGCATAAAGCTAAGTATGCCTAGCAAAAAAAAAACCTCAGGAAACTTTTTTCCATCTTGAACTCTTGGGAAAAAAACAACAAAGAGAAAAACCCGCAGCTGCCCCAAACACCACAATGTCATCAATTGAAATATTTCACAATTTCAAATGATTTTATATTGTTTCAATATTCTTAAAATGAAATAGTGTTGTTTTTTTTTTAACCTTTTCAAAATTACAGGCTGTCAAGTGGAACTTATTTGATCTCCATTAAATGCTTTTGACTCTACGTGTTCTCAGTTTTGCCTTCCACCTGTCTAGTCTACTCTGTATTTCCTACTCCACATTGGTCCTCTCTGTTCCTTTTGTCTTGCTAAAAAGAAAATAGCTGAGGGAGATGTTTTGATAAATAGTTCTCCTCAGACAAATCACAGTGGCTTCTGACACTTTGAGGTCAAACGCTATTTCCTTCTGGTTTAGTAATCTCTAAAGGTTGTTAAAGTATAGGAACTGAGATTCTGAAAGGGAAAAAAAAATTCACATAAAAGTAAGTCATATGAGTGAGTGCTAGAGTAAGAATGTGTTGATCTAAATATGCTTCTCTACATAATCTGTATTTACTTCTTCTTAATATAGGATAATTCATTTGAGTTTGAAAAACGTAGAAATGAACCAGTGAAATACCAGAGAGAGTTGTGGAACAAGACTGGTGAGTCACTTTAGAAAAAAACAAAAGATGAACTATGGGGAGTGAACTTTTACTCTACATGAACATGTTTTCAGAAGACTTCTTACAGTATTGACACTTTGTAGCAGTTGTGTTTGAAATTACTGGAATCGTGACCAAATTCTTACGTGTGGAGGAGGTTTGAGTTGTGAACAGGTGTGGAGTTCCACTTGATTTTATTTTTTTTCAGAAACTGGTTAGAAAATGAGGTGTGGCATTCCTCTATTTTGAATTATCTTCAAAAAACCTCAGTGGTTCTCCAGCTTTTTAAGAGGCTCCCAGTGTAAGCCTTTTATACTGATGCAGTTGTTTCTTTGTTCCCACTCATTCCACTTCAATTTGTTTAATAAATCAATTGCTAAAAAAAATGGAAGAGTTACTTATGTCGTGAATGAATGCCACAAAGGAGAAGGTGGTAACTTGCATCTGATTTCAAGTGGAGTAAGAGTCTTTTGTAGTGGTGGCTAATTGTAGAAAATATGCGTAGGCACAGAAGTGGAAGAATAAATAGTTTTTAAATACAATTCATCATAGTTGGTACACAGAATATTCTGCTACCCTGCTCTTTGAAGAAGGAATAACTTCCTCTATATCGTATAAGAGTTGCCTCTGATATAGAGGTGTTATGGAGCACTGGTAGTGTCGCTCAGCAAAATAGCATGTACTTTCAACTGTAGGTATGTCAGCACATTTAAAACAACTTCTGCTTTATTTCAGTTGATGCAATGAAGAGAGTGGAGGAAATAAAGCAAAAACGCCAAGCTAGATTTATTATGAACAGGTGAGGAGAAGTATTTGTATTACGGGAGCTCTCGCAAATCTGTATTGGACAGTCAGTCTTTCCAGAGAAATGATGGTCAAAAGTTTTAAATGGTTATTTGCTTTGTACATACACAGTCATCCAAGCGATGGGGTAAAATAGCTCGAGTGGGCTCCGCTGTGCTACCAAACTACTACGCGTTATTGGCTGTCCAATGAAACGTAGCTTCTGGGCACTTGATGATAATAGTTACATTGCCTTGTTCGTAATACGGGGTCTTAGATTTAAACAAACTTCTGATAAGAGTTGACATAGTGCTGGCTTTTTTTCTGGTTTTGTATCCAGTATATGCTTGAATTGGTTTTCAAATACTTTTTGCCTTTATTTCCTCATAATCGTAGTTATTTACAGTTTACATACCTTAAAATGAAAACATACATCTCCTCTTTGAAGGTAATTAAATTTCATTTCCCCCCTCCCCAGATTAAAGAAGAGCAAAGAGTTGCAGAAGGCAGAAGACATCAAAGAAGTCAAACAGAATATCCACCTTCTTCGTGCTCCACATGCAGGTAAGAACTTGCTTTACCTGGTTTGCTTAGGTTAACTTGTGTATACAATTTTATGAAGAATATTGATTTTTTTTTTTGTATGACTAATTCTACAGATCAATAATCCTGTGCATTTTTCTTACAATTAATTTGTCTTATTTAATATGGAGAATAGCTCTTGCCACTAAATGTAAGCAGTATCTTTGTTCTGAATCAAACGTACCTTTTTATTTATCTAGTCCTGCATTCATCCTTTCTTTTCCTTATTTGGGTATTTTAAACTGCATTCAATACCTGGCACACTCTGAACTGCATATTTGTTAACCAATACCTTTATCTAAGTCTTCCCTTTGAATTGATTATTTGAACTCAACAGACTAGACCACTGATTGATATAAAATGCAGTAGTTAAACTCTGCTTTTTGAATGTGAGTAGGGTTTTTTGTAGTTCACGGTGTATAATGAAGCTTACATGAAAATACTGTTTCTTCAGTGTAAGCCTAGCATTTTTTTAAATATCATGGTAATTTTACAAATGTTCACCAAAATCTGTGCCTAGTTCAGATATAATAATGTATATTCTTTGTTAGTGAACTGAGTTTTTCAGTTGGAGAAACCCATTTCTCTAAAAAATTTTCTGGTTTCTAAACTATGACAAGTACTAGCTTGTGTTAGATGATGTTGATAAAAACGGATTGGAAAGATGATTTATTTTTTAAAATACAGTTAATGGAGTAGAGCAATGGAGAGAAGTTAAATACGCTTCCATTAGTTACTGTTTTATGAAAATTGCCAGTGATTTTGTCTCTGTGAATGTAGGTGTGGCATACTATTAGACGTTAACTAGAAATCTGTTCTATGTTTTTTCTTGCAGTTTGCATTAACTATAGTCTAAGATTGTATATATGTGAAACAAGGTTTTGTCAGGATATATTTAAACTTTGGTTTAATCTGTCCCTTGTTTTTTGAGGGAAGAAAAAGAAAAAAGATCTGAATTCAAAAGAATAAACCTGAGAGTTTATTTCTTTTGTTTGGCTTTGCTTGTGTTAAATGAATGATGCACAATAGCATGTAGTACATCTGGTTGTCAAACAGCAGCTACCTT